GGGTCTAACACTCTAGATAAAGGGAGTACCGATTGTTATGCACGCAGCCGAAAGTTTAACAACGGAGTAGAGGTCCTGTCAGGAGCACGCCAGGACAACCCTGACCAGACGACGCTGACACTGACAGTCCAGACCACCGAAGGTACCGAGGTACGAAAACACCGAGGTACGACAATGTAGATTATGAAGCATGCACTTGAGCAAGGGATCATTGGCCTTAGGTCCAATTAAATATACATACACTGAAATCAGATGACAGACCACCAGCCTTTTTCCTTTTTAGAAAGAGTATCTCCTATTACAGCAATCAGCATTAATCTTTGCCAAAGGCTTCATGAGCACACCCTGTAAGCCACTCAGATTTGTTTTGTACTCTGTGTTGGTTGCTTGTGCCAGTGATAGTTCACTTACAACACAGTGGCAGCTATTATAATACAAACAAAAAGTAAGTTGGGATACTCCAATCTACACTTAGTCAAGACTCCCATTGATTTGAATTTCACCAGTGTAGGAATGCAGCCTCCTATGCTTATAGTAATGTAATTACAAAGCTGTTCTAACACTCCCTGGAATTCACATTTACCAAGTAGGGACCTTCACTGACTTCTAAACTCGCTCTCTGCAAAAGCCATTCCTCAACTTGAGATTAGACGAAGGTTTCTAATCATTAGAGGAGTGAGGTTCTGGAACGTCCTTCCAAGGGAAGTAGTGGGGGCAAAAGATCTATCTGGTTTCAAGATTAAACTAGATGGGTTTATGAAGGGGATGGTTTGATGAGATAACATGATCTTGGTAACTAAGTGACCATTCATTATCAGTGGTAACTAGGTCAATGGAGGGATGATAGGAGTTACTATAGAGAACTTTCTGGGTGTCTGGCTGATGAGTCTTGCCCACATGCTCAGGGTTTAGCTGATCGCCATATTTGGGGTCGGGAAGGAATTTTCCTCCAGGGTAGACTGGCAGAGGCCCTGGAGGTTTTTCACCTTCCTCTGTAGCATGGGGTACAGATCACAGCTGGAGGATTCTCTGCATCTTGGGGTCTTCAAAGTATTTGAAGGCTTCAATATCTGAGATATAGGTGAGAGGATTATTCTAGGAGGGGTGGGTGAGATTTTGTGGCCTGCACTGTGCAGGGGGTCAGACTAGATGATCATAATGGTCCCTTCTGACCTTAAAGTCTATGAGTCTATGAGAACAAGGTTAGGGAAAGGGAGAAGGGAAACAAACCGGTCTCAATTAGATAAGATCACTTACACTTTTGAAGGAAGCTGCAAATTCAGCAACACCTGGCACTGGAGAGTGGGGAGAGACAGAGAAAATTAGTCATGCCTAAATGTTATTGCCTCCAGTTTCCAAAGAAGCCACAGCTAATCATCATCTAAGGATACAGCTACCCTGCATCTCTGAAGACTAATTCCCAGTTTTGGTAAGTGTAAACACATGCTAGCATGCTAAAAATTAAAGCATAGACCAGCATTTCCCAAACTATGGGCCGCGGCCCGGTACCGGGCTGCAGGAAAAAACTACCGGGCCTCAGCGTGGTTGCCAGGGTGTTCTGCACTACTGGAGTGCCCGCATGGCACCGGGTCCCCGAAGCCCTCGGCCAGCCTGGGCGGAGTCTGCAGCCGGATGTTCCAGCTCCCAGCAGAGTCCTAACTAAGGGAGGTCGGGGCGAGGAGGAGGGGAGAGCCAGCACCGGAAGCAGCACTGGATGGGGGAATCGGGGTGGGGGGAGCCGGGGAGATTGGGGGGCCAGCGGAAGCAGGGCTGCCGGGAGTCATGAGGTTGGGGGTAGGGAGCTGGCCGGGGAAGATGGGGGTGGGAGGGAGAAGCGGCCGCCGGAAGCAAGGCTGGGCGCT